CTCCTCCACATTGGGCCTCACCAACGTAGAATAGAGGGGAATGATTACGTCCCTGGATCTGCTGGCAATGCCCCTACTTATACAGCCCAAAATGCTGTTAACCTTGTTGGGCACATTGTTGACTCATATCCAGTTTCTCGTTCACTGTAACCCCTAGGTCCTTTTCTGCAGAACTGCTGCCTAGCCATTCGGTCCCTAGTCTGTAGCAGTGCATGGGATTCTTCCATCCTAAGTGCAGAACTTTGCACTTGTCCTTGTTGAACCTCATCAGATTTCTTTTGGCCCAATCCTCTAATTTGTCTAGGTTCCTCTGTAGCCTATCCCTACCCTCCAGCATATCTACCGCTCCTCCCAGTTTAGTGTCATGAGTGTATATGAGTGTTTGATTCTTTAAAATGGCTTGCAAAATGAATAGCAGGGTAGGTGAGTTGGTATTTGGAGTAATAGCTGTGTTTATTTTTTTCTGAAGTAGGTATAATATCTTTAAATGGGTGGTGATTTACACAAACTATCAATATGTAGTTAAATTACAATTTATAATAACTCAGTATCTGCACAGTTTCTAAGTTACCATCTCTGCTGTGTCGAAATAGATGAGTATCCCGGTGTTTTGAGGCATCCAAATTAAAATGGTTACACCCCTGGACAATCTAATTTGAGTTGAAGTTTCAACATCTTGTCACCTCAATCTTACTAATCTGACCTTGTTAATTGTTGGGTAAATTTTAATGCGATTGCTGGACTTTGGTTGTAATGCCTTAGTGATTAATAAATTACTGTATTGTGCTGAGAAAGTAAATCCACAATTTATAAGTGCAGTTTTAACTATTTTTAACACTGTCTTTTGCAGTTTACAACAGCAGTGACCAGTGCCTTTTTATTAGCAAAAGTAATTCTCTCAAAGGTACATATTCAGATCAAATTTTAATTTATTTATTTAAAATCATGGTTTTCTATGAGGAAAAATGTGGTGTTTTGTTTTTTCAAGTTGTTTTCCCAGGGTGCTTTTGGCTATGTGCTGCCCATTATATCCTTCATACTTGCCTGGATAGAGACCTGGTTCCTGGATTTTAAAGTGTTACCACAAGAAGCAGAAGAAGAAAACAGTAAGTTTACTTCTTATAGTCACCTGTTATTGCAGTCCACCTCATACTTTTTTTCTGCCTTTTAAGATAGAGTATTTTCCCCCATCACACTCAGAAACTGCTAGTGTATCTGATTTTTGAGACAAAGATTCTAGCGGTGTATCTGATTCTTGAGACAAAGTGGGGGAGGTAATATCTTTTATTAGTCCAATAAAGGATGTTACCTCAACCAGCTTGTCTCTAATATCCTGGGGCCAATACGGCTGCAGTAACACTGAATGTCTTATCCTTATCTTTTCTCCCATCGTAAAATTTCTATACAGAAGGAAGTGTGTTTTGTCTTATCTAGTTCAGGAATGCCAAAATTACACTTCATGGGAGGGCCACATTGGCAACTTGTCATGAACCCACCAGCATGTCTTATTTTCATATATCTTTACGTCTTTTAATAAAAAACATTGCATGTAGCTGGGGCAAGTAAAATTTTTGGCTGGGTGAGCGGAGTGGGGTGAGGAGCTTAGTTGCTGGCTCCTTCTCTTGAAGGGAGTAAAAGAGTTCACAACAGACCAGATGCCACTAGTTGTTTTTGAAAAAGGATGGGGAAAGGAGAGAATAGTGCTCCTGGAGCTACTGTCATAGTATGGGACCAACACATTCTATAAACTGCTGCTCCTTCAAGAAGAGGCAAGTGAGGGGCAGAGGAGGAGCTTGGAGCGTCAAGACTTCCTACAGATTTATGGAGCAAAGGTAGAGGGATTCACAATTGATTTTATTTTATTTTTATATTTTTTTTGGTAAGGGATAACATTAATTGGGCAGGATCTTGAAAAAGTGCACTGGATAGTACAGTGAACCTTTTGTATTTACATAAACAATTTAAATCTGGTCTGAAACAAGTGACTGTAAGTGAATGTTTGCCTCCAAGATCAATAAATCTTGATAGTGGCATCAACAGTGGAACTCAGTTTCTCCTCACCAAAGCACGTTACAGTTAATCCAGCACCTTGGAGCACCAAATCTTTTCACCCTCTCAATCTCCTTTCCCTTCCAAAAGAAGATAATTAAATTAGAGGGGTTTGTTTATTTAAAAAAACGCAGGACACTAAATAGGAAAATGTAACACATCATTTTTTGCCTTGCTAATTAGCCAGTTATTTTTATTCTGTCACTTACATCACACAGTATCCCAGCAGCTAAGCAGCCTGGTGAATTCAAAGTCAAGCATTGTTTTAAAATTAGCAGTCTGGATTTTTAAGTACGTCTTTTACAATGAATACTCATAAGTGAGGAAAAGATTTGACATGTGCAACCTACATCTTTTTGAGGTTCAGTTAATAGAAATTGTTGAAAAACTAAATATTTTTTTCCATTTTTGGCGGGTTAAAGGAGATAGTTATAGTATTGTTCTAAAGGAATCTTCTGTTTTGAAGTACAGTGTGCTCTCGTTTGAGCTACTAATATTTTTAAAGAAAATACTGTGTACCCTGGTGTAGAGCGCTGTTGTGCAGTTACTTCAGACGCTCCAGAGGACTCTTTCCTTGTATTTGAGAATTGCAAGTGCTAAGTACATCTGGGGATTTCTCCCCAAGTTTGTGGTTGTATATGTCCTGTGTTTTTATGTTTAATATACAATATTAAATCTTCCTACAATAGGAATTCTCTATAATCTCTATAATTACACCACTTTGGGGAAGAAAAATATAATATTTTTAACAACGCCTTTGCTGCGTAGAAAAATAGTTGAGTGTTCTAAGTTAAAGCAAGAATTGTGGAAAGTACAGTAGTTTTCTTTTTCTGTATTTTAAAAGATGGAATGTAGGATACTATGATTCTAAATAAATATTTTCATAAATAGGAACATGCAAATGCATGTATTTATTATAACTAGACATGGGCTAACCACCTGGATAAAACTACCTTGATCCATTTGAACAGAACCCACATTTATTTTGAGATTTGAAAAAAATGAGATTAACTCTTTGTATTATATTTGATTCTCACGTATGTCTGTGGTTCCTGCTAAAATATGGAGAGAATTTCCAGACATGCTAGAAGTAAAAGCACTGGAAACCTCATGGGAGCTGCTTCTTGTAAGACTTTCAGAACAGTCTTGTAAGCCAAGAAGTGCAGGTAAACATCCAAGTGTTTGGTGCTTCCCTGCACTGAGCTGCCTAATTTTGAGGTTTACCCATCAGGTGAGGTTTTAAATGGTCTGACCCATTTTTAATTCCTCCTTTGTTTTTATTCTCCTAATGACTCATCACCTGTGATACCCATTTTGGTCTCCATTTTCCCACTTGCCACTAATATTTGGTTTATTAGATTGTTGCCTCCCAAGGAACTGGTTGGCAGAATAAATTGCTATCTGCAAATAAGTGGCTGAGATGGAAAACAAGGTTCAGCTCTGATTAGAAAATAACCTATTATCACACTATATTTGTCATTTGTTATTTCATTGTTTAGTACAGATTCAGTGACAGTAACATTTTTAAAAAAACAGGGCAGTCCCTATGGGACAGAAAATAAAAGATGGGGAATTTGAATTTGTTCAAGTACCAAAAAAAGTAGGGAGCATTCCTGCATTGGCATGGGAATGCATTAAAAGCCCTAGTATCTCTTCCATATTCAGCACCTGCGATTCTGAGACTGGCTGAATGTAAATGGAACAAATGGCAGTACTAGTCCACGCAGGCTTATTATGCATGATTTTTCTTTCTTTGCTACCCCAAAACTTGAATTCATTCCCATAAGTAGAACGTAGTTAGCAAGGATATATTGTATTGCCTTTTTCTAAACTAAATTGGTATGATTGGCACAAATTAATAACTAGAAGGTGTTCCCTATTTACTGGGTGGTATTCCCTTCAGCTTTACTCAGAATTGCCTATCCTCATCATCAAAACAAATAGGACTGTCAGAGATTCAGACATTTTTTTTCCCACAGCACTCTTTGCTTCTTTACAATGCATAATCTCTCCTCCACAAATCCCACCCACCAAAGAGTAAGTCCTAACTTTTTATGAATTCTTTTGTATTGAAATAATATCTTGCAGTAACACAACTTACACAGACCACAATGGAAACTAAACTTTTTATAATATAGTACCTTATATTCCTACTGATAGTGGTAACAGTGATGCACATTTCTAATGTCTGCTTTTCTTAGGGCTCTTACTGGTGCAAGATGCGTCTGAGCGAGCAGCTCTTCTTCAGCCTGGACTCCTCTCTGATGGGCAGTTTTATTCTCCTCCTGAATCTGCAGCAGGTAATTTTGTTCAGAGTGTGTATGCAGAATATAATTTTCTGTAGCTGTTAGGTTTCCTGCAGATTCCCACGGAGAGTATGTCTAATCTAAAGGGCAGTGACACAGTAATTTTATAGTTTTGGTACCAGAAAAGGTGATTTTAATTTATCAGCGTTCGATCTGATTTGATCAATTTGCAATTTACGCTTCCCTGTTGTAATTTTTGCTACAATACGTTAGGCACTTGTTGCAAGTAAAATTCCATGTAGCATTTTAACACTGCAGAAATAGGAGACTTATCCATTGCTATAAATCTTTATAATATGAAGTTATATTTATTTTGAAATATGTTAGCTGATCAGTCTGACACTTAAAATAATTTCAAAAATCCTTTTCTAGTAGTGTCAAGAAATATAAAACCTGTTCTTTAGATATCTCGTTTTTAGATCTGTTTAGTTAAATAAGTTCAGAGAGGAGATATAATATATATATTATATAAAATATATTATATATGGTATATAAAATAATGAATGGAGTAGGGAAGTCAGAGTCCTATCATCTTGCTTTTGTATTATGTATAACAGTCAATTAAACTGAAAGGCCAACAAATTTAAAACAGATCAGAACTTGAGATCAAGGAGTTTCTTGCTCTCTTGTCATCAGAAAATCTGAACAGAAATAAGGGCTTGTCTACACTACTGCTTAAATTGATGTAACTTGCGTCGTTCAGGGGCGACATAACTTACTTTCACTTAAAGCGGTGTCTATACCACACTATGTTGGCAGGAGACACTTTCCCACCAACATAGCTTCTGCCTCTCATTGAGGTGGAGTAATTATGCTGATGGGAGAGTGCTCTCCTCTCGGCATAGCACATCGTCACCAGACATTCTACAGTGGTGCAGCTGCACTGATGTAGCACTGTAGTGTAGACTAGCCCTAAGTGTTATAGATAGATAAGGTGTAAGCATGTTGAGTTTTGTTGAGGCAGGCTTCAGTTGCATCTTAACTAGGCCTAAGGTGCACCTCAGTTGGGTCAGTGTAAGAGGTGACTAGACACAAGCCAGAAAGAAACAGCTTTACTATCTGATTTAAGGATGAGTTTGCAAGTTTACTTGTAGAATGAACTACAGATGAATTCTTTAAGAAACAAATATGGAACCCCGCAATACCGCACTAGTCATTTTTCAAAATAGGAGTTCACTTTCATGCTATCTGTTCATACCTTTTAAAATATGAAATCAAATCAAATATAATCATCTGCAAAATATTATAAATATCTTCCTGTGATTTTTGTAAGGTGTGCTTTATAAAGGTATACTTTGGCATTATTTTTTACAGGTTAATTGAGTTGCTACCCTTACAGTTCCATTAGAGACTCTTCACATCTCTCTGTCCTGTCACATGGGGGGAAAAAAACCAAAAACAGTTGTCTCAGATTTCTGTGAGGAGCTCATCTGTCAGGAATCTGGACTGCTGGTCTTTTTACACTGTTGAAGATAGCTGGCTGAATGGCTTTTGGCACCTAACAGAACACTTCCTGGAAGCAATCCCATCTCAGTCCCTCTGCTGCTATCTTGCTGCTGCAGCAGGATCAGAGCAATGCAGTGGTCACCCCAGTGATTGGAGTGAGCCTGGTCCTTTCCGCGGCAGGCCTCTCCCATGCTTGCCCCAGGGCACCTACGGTGTTCCTTGGATGTATTCCAAGCCATTAAAATTAAACCCTGAATTTTTGGAAATCAAACTTTGGTTTGTGCTATTGAAAGTGCAACAAAGAGGAGAAAGTCTTTGCAGTTGTTCATAGCTGTATTCCTGCACTAAAGAAATCTACATAAAGAATGCTTCAGTTCTCAGGTACTTTGAGGAAGTGTTACAGGTTAGGAAATCTTTCATTGGGCTGAGAGAGGCTTGTACAGGATTTAGACAGGGTAACAAAAGCTTCAATAACCAGCTGTGGGGTGGAGGTACCTGTAATAAGAAGCAACAACCTAGAGGTCACAGTGGCAATCTCTGTATGAAGGAGAAACTTACATGGGAAGATCACTTTTTTATAACTTTGTATTGGTGATAAATACAGTATTTTATGTCCATAAGGCTACTATTGACAGTTATTTTGCATATTATGTGGAGGTTAATCTAGAAGTATCACTCAGGAGCAAAAGTGCAATATAATCAAGGATGATCTTGTTATAATGATGATATATTAATGAAGACAGGATATTAACTGCTTAATTTAGTATAGTATAAGGTTAAACTGTTTAGCAGCATAATATAATAAAGATAGCTGTCGTATAGTTCCATCTAGTGGTGGTAAGAGGCATTAGGACAATGTAGAGCACAGAATAAAACAGCCAATTGCTCCTGTACCCATGTACTGAGTCACCTGTTTCAGAGTGGTAGCCGTGTTAGTCTGTATCAGCAAAAAGAATGAGGAGTACTTGTGGCACCTTGTATCTGAGCGATATATTCTATCTAGTATGTTGTAATTCTGAGACATTAAGAATACAGGCTGAGTATCGGAAGTATTGCATTGTTACCCTTGTAACCTTATTTTGAAATCCACAATGCTGCATTCTTTCTTGCCTGTAGAATCACGGAAAGATGCATAGAGTAAAAATAAGTCATACAGATAACTTTAAATCAGAAGATATTTTAGAAAATTATAATAAATATCCACTGGTCTAATCTGGCTTCTAGTAGATTTTGAGTAGATTGGCAGAAGTAAGCAGTAGTATCCAATCTAGTGGCAGAAAAACAGAGTTTAAAAAAAAAATAGGGATGTGCTGTCCAGTGTACTGCTACAGACAAGAGAATTGGGGTTTCATAGCAACCTTTGAAACTGGGATTTTTAAAGGTATGCTGAAGTGTATACTCATTCTAGAAATGATCCTTACTGCTGTCATGGATTCCTTAGGTTGTGTGAGCCAAGATTATTGCACAACCAGGGGATCCTTGCATTCTTCCATTCCGTCCCACAAGCTCCCTGTCTGTCATCTTCCCATCCCTCTCTGTTTTAGGGACTCCACCCCAATCCTGATAGGGATTCTGTGTGCCCCATGCCTCTATCCCTCTATGCCAGGGTCCACCATTCTCTCCCATAGCAACAGCTCTGTGTGCATCCCATACCAAAGTCCTTCCAATTTTCCTCTTCCAAAAATTATGTGCTCACCATTCTTCTCTCCCCCTATGCCATGTTCCCTGGAGGGTTTTATGTGAATCTCCATTGTGTCCCACCCCCACCAGGGGCTGTGTGCATTTCCCCACCTGCATGCCCCCCATTCCTCTCTATACCATTATGATTTTTGTGGGAGATGTATCATTCAGGGTGTCAATATGTTACTGTATTGGAAAGACAAGCAGAGGTTAGATAGGGTGAAGGCATTATTGGGTGCCAGCAACCGGTTGTTTGACCTGTAGACTATTGTAGAGGTGCTTAAAGTGTTATCCCTCGTTTTCCCCATTCTGGTTTTCCAGTTTTCCCCAAAATCAATAGGGGTCTGGCCATTGATGCCAAGAACATTTCTTGAAATTTTAGAATGGAAAGATATTGAGTTATGAAGAGAGAAATTCTGTCAAGTTGAGTATAAGGCCTTTGCAAGCTCAGCCAATAAATTTAAAGTCAGAAATAGTATAGGCAGTATCACTGGAGATATAAATTGGTGACCATATTTTTCATTGTCAATGAGGAGAGACTAAAAAGAGAATGAAGAGCAACACTGGGATATAATTAATGTAAGAGATAATAAATCGGAATGTTTCAGTGTATATCTAGGTGGTGGTCTAGAATGTCACAAAGTAGTTTACAGTCCATTGGGAAAGCTGTGCAATAAACATAGCACAGAAGTTTAAGGGACACTCTTAATTGAAAATCACACGTTTGAAAATTCTGTACCTACTCTTGCTAAAAGTAAAACCAGTGATTACTGTAACTACAAGATGGTAAAAAAAAAAAATTCTCTGTTTATTTCCTTTGTGCCTCTGATAGCTTTACATATAGTTCCTTTCAACGCTCCCCTTGCTAATCAGTTTTTTCTATGCTAAAAAGACAAACAGGAGAGCAGAAAAACCCTTTACACTTTTTTGTTTTAAATTTTTAGGGCTTCTCTACATGGCATGGCCACATGCACCAGAGGGGAGTAAATTCTAGAGTGCTCTAAAATATTGCACTCTGCCCCATGTAGACCCTCCAGCCTCGCTCTAACACGCTTCCTAATGCGTGTTAATGCAGTACTGTTTCATATGGGACTACATCAACACGCATTACGAACCTTTTAGCGCGAGTCAACAGGGCCTACATGGAGCAGTTAGAGTACAACACATGGGAACACTTTACAGTTTACACCCTTCTGGTACTGTGTAGACAAGCCCTTGAAGGGTGCCTTAGAGGAACATGAAATATTTTTAAGTTAGTCCTTTCAAAAATGTAAAGCTGTGTCCCTTTAAGAGGAATAGCTCAGTTTCAGTTTACTGTACTTACAGCCCCTTTATCTTCAGTAAGCAGCTAATGGATGCTGAATAACCATTGTGGTGAGAGCAGGTGCTAACTGAGCCAGGCAGCAGTTAGATTTTTACAGTTTATTTTAAATTTCAACTTCAAAATAATGGAGGCAGTTGAACCACGACAAAGAATTTTAATGATTTGAAGTAGTTTAGTTAAAAAAAAATTCCCTCCAGGCTCTGTGGCTTTTTACCACAGATTTCATGTGAAAAATACAGCATTATTGTTGTGGTCCACAATCTGGCTTTAAGATAGTGGCACAGATCTCCAGAGTAAGTTTCCCAGGCATTTTTCATCATAAACAGTTACAAACAAATGAGATTCTCACAGGAAAAATAACTGTTCAAGACACATATTCAAAGCTGGAATGGTTCAGAGGCTGAGAAATTTCTCACTAGCCACAGGCAGTGTTCATTGCCAGGTGTGGTGGGGACAAAGGAATCTATAACTCGAAACATAGCTACAGAACTTCTATTTGCTAGTCCTCATCTGACCTGTTTAGTATCCACACAGCATTGGGAGGTCCACCTAGTTCTGCTAATATAGTATTGTACCTTAGTGAAGCTGTTCAGAGTATCTCTTGTCAGTTAGTGAGAAGAAGTGCTGCATGGGAGGTACAGAACTGTGTCCAGCTAAACCATTTCATCTGGGATATGCCAGCATATTTGCAGTAAAGGCAAAGAGATGAGGTCCAGATGAAGAGATGGCAAGCTGATGATGGGAGACCAGGAGAGGGAGATGCTTGAGATGAGACTGATAGACAGTGAAGGTGGCCTTCAAACTTCCAGTGAATTAGCTCTAACGTTGGTCTTGTTTCCTCTTTTCTCACTTGGTCCAAACTAGGACCTTATGTAACAAAAAAAATATAGTTTGCATGCTAGGCTACAGATTCTTCCTCACATTGGCTTACATGTTAATTAATCTAGATAGCAATATTGCGTTTTTTGAGTATTGGTCTAGAAACAGCCTTAAAGTTAAAGAATTTTTTTTTTTGGTAGGATAGGATGTGTAATTTAAAGTCAGAAAATCTCCTCATCAATTAATGAATTTAGAATTGTAGCTTGTCACCTAGCTGGGCATGGTTACAGAACAAATTCTTAGCCTCTGGAAAAACCTTCTGTAGGCCCATTCACCCTAATCGTATATGGGATGGCACAGTGAGACAGGATAAGGGTCAGTCAAGTGGACTTGCCCTGTTGAGTGGGCACTAGATTCTGAAGGGACACTCCCTCCAATATGGCACAGTAGGTTGAGGTTCTAGGTGGGGATATAGAAAGGGCCCACCACAACTCTAAAGGGTTTACTGATTATAGATGTGTGTAGTACAGTGGTTTGAGCTTAAGACTGGGAGCAAAGATCTACAGAATTCTAACCCCATCTCTGATACTAATGCATTCTGTGATCTTGAGTAAGTAATTTAACCTCTTTGTATTCCTGTCTCTAAAATAGGGTTAATAATTTACCAATGGTGGTCACAACTGTCCTGTGATAATTCTGATTAGTTCAGTCTTCACATGTCATATAAATGAATACTATTATTTCAGTAATGGTGTTTGGATTACTGATGACCTGATGCTTACAAAATACTTTACTTAGGCCTTTACTAGCATTTCCATTTTACACTAAAATCTCTTATTTTAAATTAAACACCGACAGACCCCAGTCGTCGGTAGGCGGGATCGAACCCGGGATCTCTGGAGCTTAGTGCATGAGCCAAAAGCCATATGCCTCTTAGCTAAGGCTGCAGAACAGACTCACTAATCTCTCTCTCTAAGTGGTCTCGGTGCCACTAGCTGGGACAGAACACCACACCTAGGAGGTGTGTGGGTTACATATTTCCCCTCGCTGAGAAAGCGCATCCCGAGCTTCAGAGTCTTACAAGTGGGGGCTCGTTCAGGATTTCAACTGGGAACGCCAACAGACCCCAGTCATCGGCGGGCGGGATCAAACCTGGGGCCTCTGGAGCTTAGTGTCTCAGTCTCTACTGCATAAGCTAAAAGCCATATGGCTGTTCGCTCAGGCTGTAGAGCAGAGTCATTAATCTCTAACTGGTCTCAGTGCCACTAGATGGGACAGAGCACCACACCCAGATGTGTGGGTTACATTAGGAAAACCGTATCTTCATAAGTTGAATTGATTTTTAAATAAGGACTCTGAGTTTCTCTTACCAAACTAATAATTTTATTCTTTTCCTGTTTAGGATCTGATGAAGAATCTGAAGAAAAACAGGATAGTGAAAAACCAATTGTATAGCAACTGTGGGAGATAACAGGCAAGTCCTTCTTTAGGGAAAATGTCTCTTGCATAAAAAGTTAATGTTTCTTTTTAATTTCCTTCCATTTAATCACCTAGGAATTAGCCACAATCCAAATGGTTAGCACTGTTGGAACTGGCCTGTTTCTAATGTCTGAGCTAGCTGTTACGGAGCACTGGCAAATATATCTGACTGCTGGAAGGGTGAATTAGGACCCACCTACAATGAGTTCTGACTATCCCAGTTTTTCTCCTCCTGGAGACAGCAACAGATGAGGTCAAGGCACACTGGGTACTCTGGTAGGGTCTGAGATGAACTATCATGGAGCACATGAAAGGAAGTGGGCTAGCAGCATGCATGCATCTGTTGGCTCCCTGACATTTCTCCTGTTTCTCACTTTAGAGGATGGGGAAGGACAAGAAGTTAGAGGATCTTGTGTGGAAGAGAGAAAGGAGTAGAAGTTACTTAAGTCCTTTCTCTTAGGTCTGGCCTACACTTAAAAGTTAGGTCAGTGTAGTTGCTGTGAAAAAATCCGAACGCTAGAGCGCTGTAGCTGTGGCACCTGCGCTCCCCTCCCCCATTGTAGACACAGCTAGGTCAATAAAAGAATGCTGCTGTCCCCTGGGGAGGTCAAGTTCCTACAGCCAGGGGAAAAACCCCTTCCACTGCTGTAGTATCTATGCTGTGATGCTACAGTGGTATAGCTATGGTGCTGTATTTGTAATGTAGACATGACAAGTGTAGAACATTGGGGGATTCTGCGTGTTAAAGTGCTTTAAACAACAGAAAGAAGAGGGACAGGAGAACATATCAGGGTCAGGAAAGGATTTGGCTACTTGGTGTATTCCTTATTGTTTCTATTTGATGGGGAATTAATCCTCTTAAGAGGCTTAAGTTCCTACCTGTTTCTTTTTTTCATAGCTCATTTCTGATTTTTATATGAATAGTAATGGGATATTGCTCTTTCTTTTTGAGCCTCTCTCTATCTTAATGCCTCTCTACCTATCTTAATGTCCATTGTCTTGGATCAAACTCTATTTATTCATCTTGACTTTTTTTAATCTCTTACAGAGCGAAAATCTGAATCAAAGGCCATTAGGGAATTGCTTATACTGAAACTGTAATGACAATGTCTGCAGTTGACTTATTGGTGGAACTGCTAACAAAAGAATTTATTTATTAGAGAACAAAGAGGAATGATTCCCGTGTACTGTAATACCTCACAAACTTGTTCTGTTCACATATATATATATATATATTAGACTGCCTCATGGCTGTTATGAAAAATTACTCAATTACTCATATTGTATTCAGTGATTCTTGAAGTTGATCTTCTAACAGCTAGGTAGCTACTAGAAAGTGTTGTGCTTGTGTAACTAATCAGTAAACCTGGTAATATATTGAAGTAACACTTCTGTATGATGGAAGTATATTTAATGATTGTTTGAATTCACCAGATAAAACTATTTTACGTTGTGAAATATTTGTCCTGTTCATTTTTACATTTTCTTTTTTTTTAAACTCCATGCATTTTTTTTAATGGACTTATGCACTCTTTGTAAAATAAAGAAAAATGTTAATAAAACAATGTGACATATTGCGACATGTTTGTCTGTCCCTTCACATAGTAAGAAGACCTTTTCAATCTCCTTGTCTCTCACTGGGAAACAGAGGGTCTATGCTGACTTTCATTTTTGTATAGATTTTGTGGGACATACACGTAAAGTTAATTTATTTCTGCCTATTGTGACAGACTAGTGTGGTGGAGTGTAATTTATAAATATAGCCCGTGCGACAGTAGAATCCTGTTTGTTCAAGCAGGAGGTAGATGTAGAATTTATTCTAATAAATGTTTTGGACAAAGTTTTCAGTGCAGATAGTAAACAACTCTGTTTTGGTGAAGAGTTTCAGGAAATGAGCTTCTGCAATAATTATGTGGATTGTGGGAGGGTTGAAACTGTAATCTACTTTAAAATGAAATTAAGGCCTACCATATGAAAACTATTCACAGACAGAAAATCTATTCAGTTTTTATTGATAGTCTCCTTTTTAAATAGCATTAGCCAGAGAAAACAGAAACTTTAAACCTATGGGTGTGATTTTTGGGAGTCTCAGTTTTGGGTGCTCAACTCCTCAAAGGGGCCCTGATTTTCAGAAAGTGCTGAGCACCTGCACTTAAGGTGTCACAAATTGGCTACCCCCAAATTACTAGTTACTTCAAAATCTTGTGCCATTTGTTTGTTAATTTTAACACCCAGGTGCATAACAGACATCCTCCTATACTTTATTATGTGGGTGTCCATGCTTTACTCAGGGTTTAATGAGTAGCAGGTGACCTGTGATATGATAGCAGTAGTTTCAAAACCTAGCCACACATTACCAAGTAGAAAAACAAAGTGAAATAGCAGCTTTTTTCACAGCTTTATAACAGCCATTAGCAGATCATATTTCATCCAGAGTTGCATGAAGCATTTACTTGAGGGGGAAAATAATCCACAGGTATTTGCCATAACATGTATCAGGGTGTTTTACATTATTCAGGCTTTCTGTGTAAGAATCTTCTTTGTGCTCTACTGGAGGAAGTGACTATATGGTGTTTATCTCTAGAAGTACCACACGCTTCCTTCAGACTGTGACTCCCTTGTCATTTTTCTAGCATTTTTGTCAACAATTGCTGTTCTATAATCAATGTGCGGTGGGTGGAATTTGTACATTATTCATAATTCTTAGTAACTTGCCCTAATTGAATGTGGATTGTCATTCTGGCCCTGTGACCTATGAAATCATAACTGGTAGAAAATACGTATTCAACCGTGGGCGTGGATACAGTATGATAGGATGCTTGCCTTCACAGTTGAGAAGATAGTTAACTCTTGAATGGTATTAAACTCACTAGACAAAATCTAACTTCATGTAATGACTCCATGATAGGAAGGAGGAACATCAGTGCATGTAGCTTTCTTGCAGTCCTCCTAGTCTTGCAATGGTAGCCTGTATGTTTTAATGTGCCTCCAACACACTGTAGATTAAACTGCACTACTTCTACAAATACCATAGTGCTAGACTATGAAGTGTTACAGTACTCTCTACATGCAACTCATGCATGTCTTTGTAATACATTGTATTTCCATTAGCTGTGGCTCATAAATACGTATGTGGTGGGGAGCAGGACTGGCTGTGGTTTAACTGTCCTCATGTTATCACACACGCCAATCACAAGCTACCTTTTCTGCAACAGCAATGACTAGCTTAGTTTATAGAATTTTCCACTAAATAACCACATCTTCCAGCAAACAAAATAACTCAAACCTCAAAAATAATACTTAAAATAACCCCCGGCTTCCATGTTCAGCATGTAAAAGTGCAGCAGGAGGTCACCTTAGGTGCACATGAGCCATTGCAGCTGTGAAATTTGCTACCACACAGTTGATAAACCGCAGTAATTGCTACATGCTGACTTCACTCAGGGCTGGGGTAAGCAAAGGTCTTTCCACAAGAAGCTTAAAAACACAAAAACCTGTTCTGCTCATGGCTATGCACACAGCTCCCATAAAAACAAATGGAGGGGGCAGAATCGGCACTACAAATCTAATTATTGCAATCTAATTAATTTTTTTAAAGTTTCCCCTCTTGCTATCATGTTCAGGGTGTTGTGCAAACAAAATGAAATCATAGTACAAAATAAGTCTCAATGGTAAGTAGTAGGTGCTTTAATACAACATCAAACAAATATTTTTCTTTCAAACTCAGGCCTGATTCTCAGTTGCAGAGCTATGATAATTTACATCAGCTGAGGATCTGGCCTGATCAGAACAAACTTGGCTTATTAACGTTAGTGGATTGTGCTGTGTCTTCTTGTGTTCTGGACTGCAACAGCAGCAATAGAGGTGTGTTTCGTTTTGTTTTTCTCCAAAATATAAATGTGTACTAGAGTCCATTGAAATTGTATATAAAGTATTTGGTCCACAGATAGCTTTGTAGCTATTTATTTTCACTTAAGCAGCCCAAGCCAGCCAATTTAAATGCCAGTATGTTTGAAAAGTTTCAAGGCTAAGCCATTACCTACTGAATAAGGGCCAGACTCTCCACCCTTATATTGAACAGTATGTAGTATCCTAATCTATGACTAATCCTGTTGATTTCATTGGGCAAATTACTCTAAAATGAGTGGGAATGGCAGAATTTGGTACAAAGTATTTTGTTTTCCTGAAAATGTGTCATCCTTTGAAAACAGAATGATTTTAGTTACAGTATGTGTTTCCCACTTCCCTGTTCCATAGGAAATTATTTTATAAATTGTTTTGTTGGTTAAATAATGGAAAACACAGCCTATGTATGATTCAGGAAATAACACAATTGTTTGCTTTAAAGAATTTTAACCTCTTGAGAAGTAAATATAAGTATGCAGAGCCCGTCTAATCTTTATACAGGATGTGGGAATACTAAGCACATAGCTGCACAAATTATTGAAGTAAAAGATATACTGCTAATTGTGTATATATGTAAAATACAGCTAATATGATTTTTCCTATGTGGATACTGCAAACATTCAGGGTCCAATGTGCTTGTACTTATGCCAATAATTTGCCCAGACTTGGACAAAAATTTTAGAACAGATTAATATTAATGATTTTATCAAAATAAAGACGTGCAAAGTTTGGAGAGGAGTTCAGAGTGATACCCGAGAACTCTTACCTTTATTTATTGGTTTAAAATGAACTGTTTGAACTTACAGTATGCATTGAAGAGAGTATTTCACTTTTTGAAATTCTTTAGGCATATACTGAAGAGGGTATATCTAGTTAAGATTGTATTTCATTCATTATATCTTGTATGTTGTTAAAAGATATAATATGGAAGTTTGCCATGTATGAGGCAAGTGTAGGTGTTGAGCTTTACCATTGTCTTCCAGACTTGTGTATGTCTGTCTTGAAAAATCTTTTTAAAAAGTGTTTAGATTGCCTTTAAATAAATAAACTGGACAGACTATTTTGTAATGCTGAATTTTATTTAAAATACATTAATCTTCAATTTTTAAAAAACAATTACTCATATTTCAAAACCTGTTTTTGTTTTATAAAGGAAATAAATGAAATTAATTGAAATGAAATGACAGATGATTTTAAATTACAGATTAGGACTCCACGCCCGCTAATGATTATAGCGGTGAGTTTTTTCCATTGACTTCCCTGAATGCAGTTGGCCTATCCACATCCAAAAAGTTGCTTGTGTGCACAAGTGTTTTTGCAGGATAAGAGCCTAAGAGACTGATCCTGCACTGCTTTGTGATGCAAAATTCCCATTGAAATCAAGGAGTCCTTTAAGTTCTACAGTTACAAAATTAAAATAATAAAATAGAAAAAATGAACACATGTAAAACTGTTCACTCTCAAGCAGAAGAAGCCATCTGTGCTAACTAGAGAATAAACCAACAAAATCAAATTGAAATGCACATCTTGATATTTAGAGCCAGGGGTTTCATATGAACAGGCTTAGGGCAAAGCAAAGTAAATTTCAGACAAAAATGCTGAGTTTGGAAGGTGCAAGGAGAAGTTTAAGGTTTCTTTCCCTGGCGCTTGATTGGACTTTGCATTCTGAACATGAAGAAGAGTACGATGACATAGTACATGGTGCTTTTCAGGAGAAGGACAATGTATATTAAATATGCCGTCCTGTGCATGAACCGCTCTGTAATAGCAACACAAAATTAAAAAAACGCAAACAGTTAATGGTGCATATTTTACAGCCTCAAAGAAAAATAAGTATAAAACCATGAATGAGTGTCTGCTAACCAGGTCTACATTCCGAATATACCTGCCCATCCAGCAGAGCTGATAGAAAAGAGGCACTCTGAGTGCTGGTATCGCTACTATCTGCTAAGGAGTAAGCATGATGCTAGTGCTTCTGGCATTGACAGCTTATAATAGGGTGTTGCCATGATTTTAGGCCAAAATTTTCAGACCTGGAAGTTTCTTCTAAGTCCATATTCAAGCAGCTAAATAAAAGTGGTTTGATTTTAAGACTTCCTGATCACCCACAAATTGTACTGAAATAAGTTGGGTCATCAAGCATTCAGCAACTTTACGCACCATTTGAAAATGTTGGCCTTGGATGCTTTTATAATTTAACATGTTAAGTATTAGATTAAAGAACAGTTGCATGTGTAGGCTAAAGAACAATGACACACGTGGCATGTTAACAGAGCATAACAAATACCACCAAAGCATGTATTTCAGCAGAACCTAGTGTTTAACCTGAGCTACCCATGGGCATTAGGTACTGGACACACTGCAAATGTTAACTTACAGCAGTATTCCACACCTAGAATAATTGTGTGTGGACTATTGACAAAAACGAAAATATTCTCTTTGTATTAACCATATGAAATAGTGCTTAATTCTTAACTATATTGTAGAGAAAATGAGAATTGGACACAATTACCTATGAAAAGTCTGTTGGTACAGTCTGCTGTGCTTTGAGGCGCTATGGAGGTGCCTGAAAGGATAGAAGCATAACATGTAAAGAGGGCTTTAATTGTCAAATGGGATTCTTGTTGCAAATTAACACATCCCTTTCTTGACAGAAGTTTAAAGAAAAAAAAGATGATAAAAGTATTATAACTACAGTGACTCAAATATGGAAAGTTAATATTTTAAAAAATAAGTACCTAGATTCCATCCAGAGTAAATGCTCAGTAGCATGTAATTTATGTGCAAAACCAAGTAGAGATAAAACTGGGAAAAATGCATATGCTCCTGCAAGTGAGTACTTGTATGCCTTATATAGAGATTTAGGTACTGATGTTGCAATCAGATCAGTCAGTGCAGACCTCTGACCCTTTAGGAGCTCAATTGAAGTCTTTGCATTTACATGGGTGCAGATCTGATTGCAGGGTCTGGACATTGGCCCTTCTGTGTATGCAAGTTTCTGTTCATATAACTGCAGATGCATTTTGTCCAATCAAATTATTCAGTTGTGTTTGCCCCTTTGCAATGTATATGTATACTTGGCCGATAAAAACCTGGCCGCCTTATTTTGTCTCCAGTGAGAGGGAGCCTGAGATTGTTGGCATTCATGGTAATATTGTTTAATAGCTGTACAAGAGACAGAAGAAAATAATCCTGATGAGGATACAGTCTAAGGCCCATCTCTTAGGCCTTTTGGATGGTCAATAAGTCTATTTTTCTATTGTATTTGAAATAGATAAATTTGTATCTTCTCTTATTAATTGCCTCCATGCTGACTGAGACCTGGGGGTAAGATACATACTGCAAATCAATAAATAACCTGAAAATATATTTTTATCAGAAGGCACTTTGAGAACTGAAATGTAAGGATTATGGGCCAGATTCTGAGCTAGTGTCAACTGGCCTGGCTCTATTAACTTGACTAGAGCTATGCCAGTTTACACCATCTGAGAATCTAGCTATGTGGGAATAGAAGTTGGAAAAATACCTATTCAATCAAAAGAACGGAGAAAGATTTTGTTCTTAAAGATCTAAACCTGATCTCAAATAAGAATCAAACAGAAATTACGGTACTTCTCTTAATTTATTTTCTCTTTCTCTTGCATTATCTTTTTGATTTTGGTTTGTGTAATTATTCTGGTCTGTTTTAATAAGCTAGATGCTGTGTGTGTTACTTTTCTTGCAATATATACAATATACAGCACTTGTTCAAAACCAAACACTCTAGCCCAGGTCTGTGGCTGGTGCAAAACTACAGAGCTCCATTGAGTTCAGTGGTGTTACGCTGATTTACACTAGTTGAGCCAACATTTTCTTTCATTCTAGAAAGATTTTAAACTGAGGGAGAGAAGCCAAAACTGAGCTTTTGATGGAGATAGCCAACTTATGGAGAGATGGAAACTAATATTGGCCTGGAGAGCGGAAACCCTTTTAGGAACAGTAATGAATTTTATTGTTTTATTGTAAAGAAACAGTGAACTCTCTAAATATAAATAAATATATAGAACTAGTTTTAATAATATAGTATATACCTGGAGATGCGGTGGGGACAAAATCCGCTTTGCTTTCATGTTGATAGTGGCAGCGATAATTCTTGTTGCTATTTTTATCTACGGTCAGCCAGCTGCTTATTGAGTATGATTGTAGATTGTCATCAGGGGGCCAAATTTCCCCAAGCACTGCATTTTTCTCTGCATTCTTCTTCTCATCTTCCCAAGTCACTTTAATAACATTTGGGTAAAAATCCTCAATGAGGCATACGTGTGTTACTTTCCCATCTTTTTCAATAAAAGGAGGCAGGACCTGGACCTTGTTGAAATCGAGTTTTGCTTCTGTTTCTGGATTTATTTTAGAGAGAGAAATGAATTTATTAGAAATTAAGTAAATTCAGAATTGCAGTATACATGGTATGCTGTGCTTTTGAAACAATAAAGAATTCAAAGATTTGAAAGTAGAAGAGAGAGGCAATTTCATTTCTTGCATCCAATTCCTCCAAATTGCACTCATGCACACAATCTTAACTCTGAGTTCAGCATGAGAACGATATTTCATTGCCAAACGTATTTTAACTACTTCAAGTCTATAATATATTGTAGCTGCCTATTAAATTCTGAAGATGGGAGTAAATTATCCACTTATGAGTTACAGCTTTAGGGAGTTGGAATTGCAGAAGTTTACGTGCTTGAATTGAATGCAGGTTTTTGTGGAACAGAAGAATCTGTGAGAGTGCCCACTAACTTAGCTTCCAAACTCAAAATATATTAAACACTTTTTGACTAAATACTAAGTACAGCTTTATGTTCTGGTTCATTTCAAAACATTTGTGACTTTGAAAAATCTCCCCTTTATTTACCCAAAATATGTGTATAAAAGACACCGTGATAGTGAGAGGAAGGGTACATCTACACTGCAATAGAAGACCTGCGGCACAACCACGACTGGCCCAAGTCTCCTGATTCTGACGTGCAGGGCTTGCGTAGCACGGCTAAAAATTGCAGTGCTGTTGTTTTGGCTTGAGCTGGAGCGCAAGCACTGAAACCCAACAATGGTGGTGATCTAAGAGCCCTTGCTCCAGTCAGAGCCTGAATGTCTACACTGCAGTTTTTAGCACCAAAGCCCGAAACCACAAACGCAAGTCAATTGACCCAGGCTCTGAGACTTGGTGCCACAGGGTTTTTATTGCAGTGTAGATGTACCTGAAGGGAAGGGTATTAAAGATTCCACAAACCTTTTAATGAGGCCTCTCTTTAAAAATCACTAGAATATTTTATCAGGAGATAAATTTGCCCTGAACTAACTCATATACTATTTAAGAACCTTGGTTAACACTTTTAAAAAGAGAGTTAGAAAAGTAATCTTTAAGCCTTTTCCACACTAAGGAATTTAACCTTTGTGAAAACATTTTTTATCAATTATTCACCTTAAAATGATATAAGAACATATAAGATTTGTTCTATTGCAGACCCAGCCAATACAACTTTGGAGAAACTGTTGCTGAACGCCATTTGGGGATATTACAGTAAATACATTAACATAAATCACTCAATGACAAATATCAATTACGAAATTATCAAGGATAATACACCCTGAAATGACTTTGTTTATGTATTTGGCAAATGTAATGGAGTGTTATGCATAATGCTCAACACTTCTGAAAATCAAGTCACTTAAATGCCCAAATAAATAATTCGGAGCCTAACTTTAGTCAACCACTTTTGAAAATCTTGATTATGAAGTATTACTAACAATGGAACTCTCAATGGAACTCAGCTATCAAATCTTTGCTGAGGAATAGAGGGAATGTTGCTGCTTGTGTCCAAATCCTGGAGTGAATTAGCAAAGTGCCTATTAGTGAATTTCTGCTGTATCTCCTAAATTATTTTAAAATTCGGCCACAGTATTAATGTTGTTAATCTAGAAATAGAGCTTAAAAAATTGCAAAAAAATCATTTTTTTTTCACTTCATAAAATTTTAAAAAATTGCGGCCTGCTATAGGATTGGATAAAATACAACCAAAAATATTTTTTATTAAAAGTTTGAACTAGAAAGGATGACAATTTTATTTCATCCCCGAGTTTGTATAAGTGCATGAAATAACACTGAACAAGGCCAGAAAAGACTTCCTTACTAAAATCATTATCTGTTTGCTCGTTTCATATGGCTGACATTAAACAATACATGTTTTTAAACAGTATATTGAATTTACTAGTTTTCACAAGAGGTGAGCAGGTTCAAAACACTTTTACTGCTGCTAATTTCTGTCTCCTGTTTGTCACTGTGGGCTATAACCAAGAGAATAAGGTTCCAACCCAGCTAACTGCCGAAGAAGTATTCTCTACAGAATGAGGCAACGTTCTCATGTTATAAATGTGCATCACAAAGAAGAAACGGAAGGTTGTTGATATTTCAGTAGTGTCGAAGGTCCCCAAACGGGCACCATGAATTCTGTGCATTCTCTATTTGTTCCAACACTTAACTGCAACAAAATAGTTGGCCTATACTCCACAAAACATTTTGATTGGAATTTTTAAAGGCAGTAAGAAGGGATTTAGGTGCCCAAATCACCTTGAAATTCAGGCTTCTTTGATAATGTCAGCCATTGTCTTTAGTCAACTGAGACACAAATAGATTAATACTAAGGCCCTGCTCCCGCAAAGTCATAGACTTGTAGACTTTAAGGTCAGAAGGGACCATTATGATCATCTAGTCTGACCTCTTGCACAACGCAGGCCAGAGAATCTCACCCACCCAGTCCTGTAATAAACCCCTAACCTATGCCTGAGTTATTTAAGTCCTCAAATCATGGTTTAAAGACCTCAAGGTGCAGAGAATCCTCCAGCAAGTGACCCATGCCCCAAGCTGCAGAGGAAGGTGAAAAAGCTCCAGGGCCTCTGCCAATCAGCCCTGGAGGAAAATTCCTTCGCGACCCCAAATATGGCGATCAGTTAAATCCAGAGCACATGGGCAAGACTCATCAGCCAGCATCCAGGAAAGAATTCTCTGTAGTAACTCAGATCCCACCCCATCTAACATCCCATCACAGACCATTGGGCATATTTACCTGCTAATAATCAAGATAAATTAATTGCCAAAATTAAGCTATCCCATCATACCATCCCCTCCATAAACTTATCAAGCTTAGTCTTGAAGCCAGATATGTCTTTTGCCCCCACTACTCCCCTTGGAAGACTGTTCCAGAACTTCACTCCTCTAATGGTTAGAAACCTTCATCTAATTTCAAGTCTAAACTTCCTAATGTCCAGTTTATATCCATTTGTTCTTGTGTCCACATTGGTACTAAGCTTAAATAATTCCTCTCCCTCCCTGATATTTATCCCTCTGATATATTTATAAAGAGCAATCATATCTCCCCTCAGCCTTCTTTTGGTTAGGATAAACAAGCCAAGCTCTTTGAGTCTCCTTTTATAAAACAGGTTTTCCATTCCTCGGATCATCCTAGTAGCCCTTCTCTGTACCTGTTCCAGTTTGAATTCATCCTTCTTAAACATGGGAGACCGGAACTGCACAGAATATTCCAGATGAGATCTCACCAGTGCCTTGTATAACGGTATTAACACCTCCTTATCTTTACTGGAAATACCTCGCCTGATGCATCCCAAGACCGCATTAGCTTTGTGGAAGCAGATGATTTTTCTGTTCTTTCCAATTTAGATCCTCATGCTCCAGCACTAATTAGTTCAACATTTGGGGCTCAATCTTACATTCCAAATGCACCATAAGCACCCAGGAATACAGGATTGGGCTTGAACAGTAGGTTTACCAAATGATTTATTTACTCAAGTCTTGTATGTATTCAAAAAACCTTTACACAGCTTCCTGCCCAGTGATGATGTGCTTTGCAAAATATAATGATTATTTCTGGCATTTCTCATTAGATGTTTTTAGAAATTGGAGTCACATTTACATGTTGATACTTTTTCAAGCACACATAGTTTTTTGTATTTGCACATGGTTAGATGGGTGTCTATCCAATATAAAATCTGAATTTTGTACATATATAAGCAGTATGTGTGTTTGCATAAGTGGGCAAAATCTGTTTTAAATGTCTTGCCTCATTTTAGGTGAGATATAAAACCCCTTAAGCCAATGGGATTTTTTTCTTTGGCTTCAATGGCCTTTGGATAAGACACTTTAAGAAGATAAGACCCTTAATTTCCAAGTCAATTAGAGTTTCCAGTGTGGAGCTACTTGTTGTTTTGGTCCAACTTAATTTTTCAAAACCTCGCTTGTCTAATTTATTTAAGTGGAATTTTTAACAATGATGGCGTGTTGTAAAAGAGTATACGTGATATATTCTTATTACTCTAAGTATCACTTCTCTTTTTTAAGACGATAATTAACTTTGGGCCCCTTGATTTCACTTCTTGCTCAAAAGAAATTCCTATTAGTTTCAATGGGAGGTTTTCTAAAATGAGGATTGCAGGGTTAAGTTATAATTGACTCACTGATAACTATTTTTGTGTGTGTTGCAATCTGCATGCCACTTATAGGTAAACTCTCATACGTAAATAATGTTGATGTTCTAGTTGAGAACAAAGTCCATTATGCCATCAGAATATATTAAAAAATAAGTAAATGGTATGCTTGCAATTTTAATTTTTCATTATGTGCTTTGTACAGCAAAGTGCTGAATGTGCCTGTGAAGTTCTGAATGCTTCTCATTTCCCATTGAAACCAATGGACATTGAGGGTGCTCAGCACCTGGTATTATTTACACCCAAAAGAGCAAAGGATTGTTATGACATTTCTCTGTTGCTGGCCAGTGACTTATGATTTCATTAACATTAGTGTTGCTAATAAATTATTACACTTGTAATAACATTTTATCTCAATGCAAGAACGTACACTGGCTAAAGTATTGAGCTTATTTTGATAGATTTTGCCATTATGAAACATTTAAAGTAGTTTGACTAAAAACTTTCTAAAAACTTACCAGTTACAACAAGTTTTGTGCCAGTTCCAAAGATTTTCGCAGCTCCCACAGTGTTACAATTTACTACAAAAACGGCCTAAGACATGTCTATTCAGAGGGATCAGATCTGAACAAATATTGCTAAATAGGCACAACTGAGAGCCAGTTAATTCAAGCAAAGAAATGGTGGAATTTTCAATGTATTTTTCAGAGTGAGCTTACATTGGTCTTTTCAAATACTGTATATTAATATTAATTTGGTAACTTTTAAATTCTGTTTAAAAGAAAATCATTCATTTCATTGACAGAGAGGATTGGGTTGACATTTGAGACCTAATGTTGGACTTGTACTATTTTCTCTTTCCTAATAGACTGATGGAAAAGGGTATTTCAGTTAAATTCTGCTGCGTGCTCGGTGTTTTTGTCCCTGTACTACCAGAGTGGTCAAATTGGTGCATTTTAAAAATCCCAGTATAAATAAACATATAATTAGAAAAAAATACTCATTTTACAGTACACTGTGACCTATCCCCTTTTCTCAAGATGTTTCATGACATCTTTCCACACATTAACTTCTTACATCTCCTGACTGATACATACTTCTGATACGGGATGATAAATCCTGGTCACCGCACTAAGCAGAGTTAAGGGGATTTCTCTAGGAGAGCTACATGATGGACGGGAAGATGAAATCTTTTCCCCAACCTAGCTAGAGCATCATAGCCCAGGAGCTTTAGTAAAGTCCATGCAGTTGCCCACCCACTGAGCAGGCATTTTGGCCAGTTGATCTCACTAGTCACAGACCCAATGGCCATTCCATGCCCTCACCACTCCTCTACCCCCGATCCCCACTGTTCTTTGGTGCACAGGGGTACCCTAGAATTGCCTCTTTGGCTTGCCGCCCCCCCAGGATGGAACCATGGATGTTCTGGTCTGGGGTATTGATCCCTACACAAGAGAACAACCCAGCTTTGACTCAGGATGAATATCCTGAGTATATCAATAATTGTCAATGTGAATTCTGTACATTAGCTTCACATTTAGATAGTAAAGACATTCATTCTTCTGCTGTAGATTGCATATCACGTTTCCATTGTCAATTATCCTTTTTGAATAAATTGTGCTCTGCAGTCTCTAATTTTATATTATCACAAGTAACTTTTTCTCTATGCTACTACAGAACTTACTTGAAACAATGAGCTTTGTGCCAGAGCCGAAGACTTTGATATAATTGTTCTCACTGTGTTCATGTGCTTTGCAAAAACTCATGGGCCAGATCTTCTGCTGCTGGAAATCAAAGGAGCTTCATTGAGGATCTGGCCCATATAGCTTCCATATGACCCAATATGACTTCATATTTTTTGATGTGCAATTGTGAATAGAAGTTGACAATCACTTTAATATACTAGACTTGTGAATAAAATGGCTTTTCTTTACAAAATGGCAAATACTTGATCCTGTATTCCGCTGGCACCCCAAACTCCAATAGATTGCATTATATGTTTGGAGTACTTTAGAAGCAGACATGCAAAATGAGTCAAAAACTTCAAATGCGTTCTACATATCAAAGGCTTAGAATTTTCTCGTGCTTGGATCCCTCAGCATCACTTGAAATTTCTATTTTTCTCTTAGGGTTTGTGAATGGTGCCAAATTGACAGCACTGGAAACTACCTTTATTGAAAAGACTTCAGCATTCTACAATAGTGGTCCAGTGCTTAATAATGCTATTGTAAAATGTGCTGAGTGATTTTGGACTATTGCTGGAGAATCTATTTTATTTAGTGTTGGATTTCTCACCAGGTCCTAACAGTGTGTTTGAAATCTGTTTGCAAAGGTCACCTTTAAAGGATGAGATGGTAAATTATTCTTAATATCCCTTAAGTTCTTGGTATTTCTGATACAAGTGTCATCAACAATGCCTGTCATGATGAAGTTTTTAAGGTGGACACCTGTCCTCTGAAGGTTCTTTGCTCACAACTGCACATCACTTTCTGCCATAAATTTGGATTTGGTCTTTTAGGACCAATGGGGTTTGGATCAGATACTTATATATTTTTTCTATAAGGAGTTTATGTTCAGTCAGTAATGTCAAAAATCAGTACCTAGAACTGTTTGAGAAGGCAGCAAACTGATTTAAACCAGCCCTAGACTACTTGAGAATCTTATCAGCAAAATAAATCTGTAATAGTAGCTCCTTTGTACGTTATAACTAATGATCTGCACTGATCACTCCGTTCTTAATGCACTTTGTTTTACAAAAACCCAAGTAACTTCCATCATGTAATGTGAGATATGATCTTTGGGCAACCTTTTAATAAGCATTCCAAATATTTTTCCATTTATTTCTTCTATGAAAGAATGTAAAGTTTTGGTGAATTATTTTTCTTATTTTAAACAAAATGACTAAGTACTTCTGAAAGTTGTCAGATAGCATTGTAGACTGAATCCCTTCCCTCACAGGATAGATACAACACAGGCAGGGACAGGATACGCTTCTTCACACCATCTCACCGAGCCATGTCATTTTTGTCCTGGAAGGACAACCTCTAGAGATGAGGGGACAGTTCAGTCTCCAATTCAATCTTTGGCTTCTGCACCGAGCCTGGCATTAGTATCAGGTTTTTTCTAGAATATTGCATTCAGAAGAATCCAGTTATTCCATTTTAATGTAAACTTCTTTAATGATGACTAGATGCACTTTAATGGATACAATAAGAAAAGCCATTATTCCCATGTCATGCTCGTTGACAGCACCAAGCATGGTTCTGTTTGCATATCTTTTTACTCATCTATTCCACTAAGCAAGAATTCTGAAGAATTCTGGTAGGTCCTAACCCTGCTCTCACTTATACTGGTGTAAATCTGGAGTAACTCCATTTTAAATGAATGGAGGGAAGTCAGTTTAAAAAGAGGCATGACGAGTGTGAGAGCAAAATCAGGACTGCTCACTATATATGACTTTAAAAGCAATTTCTGCTTGTTCAGTATAGTTGTGAATAATGTTGTCCCTGCTAAGAAGTATGGTTCTATGGGTAAAATCCTGGCCAAAAGTCATTGCCATTGAGTTCTGTGGAGTCGGGATTTCACCTCATCTTCTTAGAATGGAAAAGCCCCAATTCCTATAATTCTGGAGTCAAATTCAGCCCTGGGCACAAACCGCCATAATTTCTTCTGATTTTACTTAGAGTTGTGCCAGGGTCTCCATTTCTCCATGATCTCAGTGTTATTTTTCCTCTTAGGAGGAAGTTACTTAGCCAATATTTGATATTTCTCTTTGAGAAGATATTTTGTTACTAAAACATTTTATTATATCCTACAGGCTTAATACACTAATAAATCAAGTGAGCAATCTTAGGTCTTCATGCTGTAATAAATAATCTGCACATGTCACTGACATGGTTCTCCATTCCTTTCACAGTCAAAAGAGCTGGTAAGGCTCTGGGAGTTTTGCATGTCAAAGAGTGCAGGATCTTATACAAGTAAGAGGATTTAGGAAAACTGTCCATTGTAAACTATAATGCTAACTAAATTGTATCTACACTCTTAATACCATAGAATATTCACTTAAAGCAACATGCTGATCCTGATCTGATATTTTTAGAATGAATTATGATAGTGTATTTATTTTAATTGGCAGCATTACAACAATTTACCTTTAGTTGAGAGCTATAGGGGTACTAAGGTAAACTTGATTTTGAATTGAGGTTTAAAATAGACTGACCGTTCTAGTTTCTGAGACAATAAGGATATGATTTTCCTTTGTCCTGTGTTTGTGCAGTCAGTTATACCAATGCAAACTGGGTGAAACATTCAACTTAATCAGAATGGTAGCATTTCCCATTGACTTTTTATGAGCATAAGTGACTTCCAAGAGAAAGGCAAAGAAGACTCAGACTCCAAGTATATATTGTTAAACACCTATTAAGTGTCAGTTTGCCTGCAATGCCAAGGTACTTCACATAAGATGACAATCTCTAGGCCAAATTCTTTCACTAACACTGGTGTAACTACAAGAATTCAGCTATGAAGATACTGACTACTTCAGAGATTGCTTCTTTTGTTTTAATTGAGAAGCATCATGATGTTACTTCTTTCAGAGTTGTTTAATTTTATGCATGTTTATGAATTTTAAAGAGTTTGAATAATATCAAAGCTAAGACAAATTTTTGCAAATGGACCAAGGACCCGCATGCTTATGGCAGCACATCCTCTGAAAAATGACATTTAACAGCTGAAATATTAGAACTATTCATTATCTTGAAAAAATCTACTTTAAATCTATCAGTAAATATTGCAGGTTTGCTCTGGGATTGAAAAGTTGATGTATTTGGGCTCAGATCCCACGAGGTGCTAAGAGCCCTAACTTGCACTGAAGTCTACAGGAATTGATGGTGTTCAGCACCTCACAGTAAGTGCTCAGTACTTCACAAGATCGAGCTTACAATTGTTGACCTTACCTGTGATAAAAGGCTTTTCAATTATCACAATAAGTCTCTTTATCTTTGCATTACTGTAATTACCACATAACTTACCTGTTACAATGAGCTTGGTCCCAGAACCAAATACTTTGGTGCGATAGCCCCTAGAAGTATCACAGTGAGCAAATCCTTTGCAAAATACTGTACAGATCTAGTATCTTTATATTGATGAACCTGTAGCTGTTGCTTTAAAAAATTCTGATTTGCTATTTAAATTGCTTTCTGGTCTTGCAATAAAATAGTAAATAAGGAGAGTGCATGTAAAATAATGTGAAAACTGTGGAGGCGATTTTCAAAGGTGCAAAAGAAACTTAGACATGGTTAAGTTAGATGTGCCATTGAAAATCTGTCCCTAAGATTAATCTGTTTCAATATGGTTTAGATTGGCTGTTTCTAATAATTTGTGGAAAGGAACATATTACTTTTAAATTGGGGTCCACAAGCTGAGGTTATAAAATTAAGCCTGCATGCTGCCATCGTTCCATGATGGTGCTCCTAATGATAACGATAGATTGAGGGTGAAATATAGCTCTTAATTTGGGTATTTTCATGAGAATTATTTTGGCTAACTTTTGCCATTTGGTGTAATCAGAAATATTTCCCAACAGAAAACATTTGCTTTACATAAATATTTGTTTGTCTCAGGGACAAGGTACCCAGCAAGGATGATTTAGCAGTATCTGGAGGGAATAATAAACTGAATTAAAGACCCAGAATTCTCTCAATTCCAATAAATCCAAACATGGCTAAAACCTTTTACCAATTGGAAATCATCTTTAAAAAATAAAATTGAGAATCATATTATTGTCTCAATTATTGTATTTTATTAAAAGGATTACTCTAGCACATATACCTTATGTTTATGTAAAAAAGAAGAACACCTCTTTATTTCCCATCACTACATGGAATCAACAAGATTTACTGCATTTTGGCCGCTTTTTGGCCTTTAATTAAGCGCATGCTTAAATACGTTGCCGTATGCGAATGGTTCCTGAACTGGAGCTTTTTTTAGGAAAGAGAAAACAATTGCATTAAGATATTACTACTAGAAATGTACCTTTTAATGCTACCTAATGGCCAGATCCTCCAAGGGCTGATGATCCTCAACTCCCATTTAAATGAATGAGCATTAAAGAAGCTCAAAACTCATATGATGGGGTGCTAAATAAACGGTATTGTACAAAAACCATAAATTCTACATTTCACATTTACTGCTAACAATAAGTGTTTCCACTTCTGAATATTTTTGCACAATCACCTCACAGTGTAACAATACTAAACAAGCTCTCCAAACAATTTACATCATTCTCATTGATTACACAAGTGTAACTGGTTTGCTCTGAATTACAGAGACTACTATGGGTGAAATCCTGATCCCAATGAAATCAATTGGAGTTTTGCCTTTGAGTTCTGTGGAATCAGGATTTCACCCAGTATATTTATGAATAACTTGATTTTGTCCTGGATAACAAGCATAGTAAATACAGAGAGTAAA